GACCGTCTGCTTGTAAAACAGTAATGGCTGTCCATAGACATCTTGCGAAAAAGCCCTTATTCACACGCAGGCTATCCCTCGATCGTCAAAGAAGATCTGTTGTTCTGCAGCTGCCTGTTCAGGTGCTCAGTAGCGATGAACTGTTTGCCTGTATGATGTCTCTACGAAACTGGCTATCTATGTGATGATTTGTTGCACATTCATTTACATGCCAGCTTAAATTTTCTTGCTATATCTTTATCCTTCGTCGCTCCTTAATTTTCGTATAGTCTGCACTGATCTGTCGTTTCTACGTTCCAGATTCAGGTTGCACACACATGGGATAAGGCCTCTAGTACATATCGGTTAAAGAATTTTTTCGATACTGGAACATATTTCTTCTGTTAATTTCTTTGTATTATCTACTTTTGCAGCTCTGAGGAATAGGAATACGGAGCATTCTGGAATCGTCTCCCGCGCTCTCTCTGGGGCATTCATTTAAATCCGACGTATATCGTCTCAGTTGATAAGAAAAAACAAATAGCCTGTTAAACAACTACTCGCTCTACATATTGACTAACAAAAGCGACAGTGTAACGAATGTATGAGTTTGTATAATTTGAGTTACAGCTGGAACATCATCGACCACTTTGTCCGGAAGGAACAGTGGACAAACGCGACTGTCAGTCGAACTCACTTAATTGTTTAGCGCTGTTTGACCCTGAAGAGGACGCTAGTGTGCAGTGTAGAAACGCGCCGGTAGAAAGTTAAAAAAAATTTACATCGTCATTGTTAGATTGTTTCCTTGAACAAGGATCGAAATCGGAGTGCCATTATTAATATCTACTCTGTAAATACTTTCTTACGATGTAGCGGAAATGTATTTTTAACATCTCCGTATGTTCTCGAAATGCTCGCTTGCTTTTATACCCATTCGATACGGCATTCATGTGTACCACAACATCGATATTCATCAGCAGGTATGTTCTGCTTCCTTGGTAATCTGAGCTGCGTTTCTGCAACTTCGACCGCACCTGCTGTCATTGATAGGAAAGGTGTTGACTATATAGAGATGGAATGTCCTCTGCGATTCTTCAGAGATATTTGCGACTGATCTTGCAAACTCTGTTATCGTCCTGTTTAAGTAAAATGGATGTAGTTTAAGTTGTTTTCTGTGAATCGGTACTACCAACCATAACTCTTGTCATAGTGTGTATTCGCATCATGGTCATCGCTTTAATCTAATGCCAGGATATTTTATAACCGAAGTCTTTTCCCAGTATATTTTTACCAGCTATCACTATACATACTGGATCATCCGTGCTTAGAAAATATTTACTTGCGTCTCAGAAATTCCAGTTTATCCTGTTCATCTCGGAGTACTTCAAACACCGGTAACAACATTGCCTCAAAACGAATTTAAGACTGGTCGACATCATAAAACCCCCTAGACATATTCATTTGCTGACAGAAACCAATCATTTATAAGACCCACTATTGATGCTGTGGACTGTTGCGTCTTTTTTAATTATTTTATCACTAATTCTGATTCGCCAAATGGGCGTATTTTTTGTAAAAATTTTTGAACATTCTTCAGCTTTGAATAACGCTTCAGGTTTTTGATGTTGGGCCCGTATTTATATAGATAGGTGGTTGAATGATTTATTGTTCAGAGCACCGGATGCAGCAAAACGATTTACTGTCAACGCGTATCACTGCATACACGGCAGCAACATCAGGGCTGAGTTGATTAAAAATCTCTGGCTTTCTTTCTTATTCAAATGTTTATCGACGTGGCTGTCTACCCCCAGGCAGTTTAGAGAAAAACTTCTACTTTTGTATTCTCATTCATTACTGTACTTCCAAAATTGTTGAGTATAAAATTATGAAAGTAATATATGCTGCTACAACGGAGTAAAGTGTGCGCAGTCTGTAGGATATGACATTATGCATTATAGTTACTTTATATATGTTACTGGCAGAGTAGTAATTCGTCCATACCAATATGGATTCAAACTAATTTTTTTCAGTCATTACTGGCAATGTATAGTTTTTCCTGCATTACTGTCTAAGCCTCAGATAACGTCAAAGTAATGATACAAACTTACAAATGCAAGCAACAATTTTAGAAAATATTAATAATACAATAAAAGTCGGTATTACCTTCTTGTAGACTGAACTGCGAATCAGTTTTAGTCCTACTAATGTCAGCGATAACATTAATTTTTAAGAATCAAGTTGTTTTGTGTCCTCTTGTTTATTTCATAGATAGTGTAATTTGATGTATATTGGGTTTTAAGGTGTTAATAATATATGCATATACTATTGGTATTTTCAGACTCATTTTTGAACTCTTCACTTTTTCAATGCTAATGGTTTGGGTGTGACAAAATCTCTGCTTCCGGCACGGAAGCCATTATCAGAGATACTTTACTGTTGATATGTTGCTTAATTATTTTACACAGGATCGTGTATTTGTGGGATATCAGAAAATGATAAACAATTTGACATTTTACTTTATATTAAAGTGTAGAATTTTATACTGTTCGTATCTTTATTACTACTATTATTTTATAGGATTTATATACTATTAGTATGTATTCTGTGACGTTTTGAACATTAAGCTTAGTCCGTGCCCACCAGAATTAATTTTTAAACAGGTAAAAACAATATTCTTCAACAGGTTTACTTTCGTGCTGGTCGAATTGATTCAACGTGACTAATGGTGCCGTGTTTACTATTAGTCATATGAAACTCTTTGATGTTTTTGAACCGTGGTCGCTATTGACGCCGACAGCTATCGCTTGTTTAATGTAACATTTGATTTGCAAATTGTGCGTAACTTCTGTGAATAACTGTTTTGGAGGTGGAAACCAGATTTAAGGAGCTTTCAGTACTATTCTTGAATGTTTTCTTTATTTCAGGCAAGAATGTGCTGACAGACAATGACAGACTCAGCGATGATGATAGAGCGGAGAAACCCTCTGACATGTCTCAGAAGTCTGGTTCTTCTGAACCGGATTCGGATAACTCTTCAGAACCACCTCGGACGTCGAGTAATAACAAAGACGAATTCGAATTTGTCGAAAAACCCGTCGAAATGTAAAAACGTTTTATGTTCATTAACGTCCACTGTTTTGACTGTTCGGCTGACCGAAGTCATAAGTATGCTGTTCTTTTATTTTTTGAAGCCGGCAATCAAAACTAGCCTAAGGGTGGATTTGAGTTGCTCTTCATTTGTTCTGCTTATTGTTTTTCTATAGTCGCTGCGTAAACTATTAAACTGTTTGAGAGTTCATGTTTGACCGTTGATCGATACGTGACGTTTTATTGGCGGCTCAAAAAACCACCATGTATTCAGTCTCTTTTCAAATACCACCAGATACGTACTCGGTAATATTTACACGTCGCAACAAACATTGATTCAACAAATAAACTGATTTTTTACAATAGAATATGCTAGGTTAGGCGAAGAGGATATTGAGTCTTCACAGATGACTGGCTGTCAGTAGTCTACGTATTATTTTCCCAGACGATAGTTTCGGTATCGATTTCACAAATGTCACATTGCTTGCTCTTCGTATTCTTTTATACGGGGCAACTCTTTCTAAATCATCGACTATGATTGTTTTTTAAAACTGACCTTACATACCGTTTAAAAATAATATGACATCATCCGCACTTAGAGAATCGTCGCTGGGTACGACAAACGCATAAGGCGTTTCTTCGGTGTCTTGGTCGGGTATGCCAACAACGGCGGCGTCCAATATTTGTTCATGTTTTACGAGAAGATCTTCCAGCTCCGTTGGCGATACCTAAGTTTTGATAAGTTTTGCAACAGAGTCGAACATTCACAGATCACTTACTTGGAAACAGTTCACTTTGATCAGGTCTTTTTTGCGTTCTACGATATAGAAAAATTTCTCGTCGTCGAAGTAGCCTATGTCGCCTAAAAATTAGACACCGTAACTTTGATTTATTTTGCCTTCACCGTCTGGCTTAATTTAAATGGCTTATGTGACTCAACGTTGTTTCCCTTTAACTTACCAACTATGAGAAAGTCGAGAGATAGGTGAGATTTATTGGATTTGCCCACAGATCTATTTCGAATTCACAGAAAGAAAGAAAAATATGTTCGCTTAGGCAAAAGGATAAAAAGAATGCTGTCGGCATACAGTATCATTATTACAAAATATTTAATTTAACGTCAAGAAAACAATTCAATGCCTGGGACATAACGATTGCAAGCTTTGTAGAAAGTTATTTTATATATCTTCGGGATTTCATTTCGTCATAGAGAGGCAAAGATATTATTCACCTATGATAAAGCTCAGTAAACGCTGAAATGACGTTTACTTTGCTTTCGGCACCTGAACACAGGAGATATTCCATTTGAACATCACGTGTAAACGATGGCTGTCATCCGGCAGCAATGAGTTCCCAAGGCGTTGCACTACACATCATAGATGACGATGAGAGATCTTCTAAGTTTAAGTTTTATACATCCACTTATTTAGAATTTCATCCTTAATATCTTAAATTTATTTTCTACTATCTAACCTCTTTTCTATTTTTTGTTTGTCTGCTCTTTCTCGTCATTTTTTTTTAATTTTTATTCACCGTTTAACGTTTCAGATTCTTAAAAATTTGCAACAGTCATTGAAATCTGCGCTGCGTCAAGTTCTGCAAATGAAGAATATCCCTTATTGCGCCCAGTCATGAATGTGTGGCAAAGACTAGCATCCCTGTGGTTAAAGACTTTCATTTCTTTATATTTTTACAGTGGCAGAGAGCAGGTCCTTTTAGCAAGGTTAAGTTTAACGTGCCATTGTTAAAGACAAGGAAGCAGAGCTTGCATGCCAATAAGTTCTGTACGGTCTACGTCACAACGAGATTTCTACTGATGCTCTTCTTTGAAAGGTATCTTCTATACAGAAATCACAATAACGCCCACAAGGAATATTTGGTCAGAGGATTTTAATAAGCGAATCATTAATTTCAGTGCAAGAACTTTGCTTCAAAATACTGATTTTATGAACAATCGCTGGTTATTCTGTCCTTAATGGTTCTAGCTTAAAATTTTTTGCTATTTATCAAGGTGAAAAGCTATGCTTCGAAAAATTATGAAAAATTTAAGCAGCCTCTTAATGATAATATATAAAAAGACGATTCGAAGTCTACATAGGACAAACATAGTTAACATGTGAAGCATTCTGGATATACAACGATTTTCCTTCGCTACAAATCAATTACTTGCGAGACGATATCGTAGAAACATAATGATCTCTAGGTAAATGAGTCTTAAAGTAAAAGAGATATAACGTTAGCAATGAAAAAAGGCATGAGAAACAGATGAAAATAGACACACTTAAAAGAAAAATAAAAAATGGAGATTAGGCAGTAGAAGCTAAATTATATACGACGAAATTGCAAGTATATGGATGGTGGTTGGAACTTAATTCGTCATTCCATAAAATCCGGGCTGGTTTCCTAACGAATTGTGAGAGTCTTAAGAATGTATACAGTCCGATAGTAAACAGACGTCAAAATTTACTTACGGGAACGTATGACAGCTTCCAATCACGATCTGATAAAGAAATTTCTGGCATTGTTAAACGCTTTACTGACAGCAAAGGCATGAAACTTTTAAGATCCCAAAACATCACTGACGGTCGGATGATGCGCAAATCTGCCTTCATTTAGTGCTGCCTGCGTAAACGATAAATTGGGTTTCAATGATCTATCTGGTTGGAATCTTGTTCTAAATAGTTTAGTTTCTAGTACCTAATTTTCTTTTGCATATTTTCTTCTTGCCTATTTCTGCATTTTTGCATCATTTCATTTTTATACCCTTCATTTACTCTCTCACATATTTCCTTGTTGCTTCTCTTTATCTTTTTTACAATACTTCGATTATTTTCATTCTGATATGAGTTATCTGTGACTATGATACCTGTTACGTACGTTTCTACTTTACTGTGAAGAAAAATGCCATTGAGGATTTTTAGAGTTTCACTCATTGAGTATATTTCTGAAAGGTTCATAACCATTTAAACTATGGTATAAATCTACTTGCTTACCCATTGACTAACTGAACTTCGATCATTCGAGTTGCTACGAGAAAAGGCACTACCAGTTTAAGATCAGTTTCTTCTGAATGACTTTCAATGAATCCGACTTGCCTTTAACTACTTGAGTTAGAAATATTTAACGGGTATCGTACCATAAACAGCTGGAGATAATCATTTTTATGCTTCTATATCCAGCGACATAACGAAGACAAATTCGTAGAAGGCCAACTTTTCGATCTTGCAAATTGATGATCGTCGGAGTATCGTAACAAAATTGACTTCTTCCTTTTCACTGCTAACTGTGCAAGCGAAGAGCTGAGAGACATCCAGTTATTTAAAACATTGACTTGAATTAAGCTTCGTATATTTCACTGCCTTGATTTAATATCACAAAGAATTAGTTTCCTCAGATGGATCTTTATCGTTGTACATAGTTTCCTCTGTTTATATGACGACGACTTATGATTTCTGCGCAATATGATTAAAGCGATATACCGGTATGTAGCCACTTCTTTGAGTCAAATAGTTGGTCAGTTGCTTCAGCGTCCTGATAGTAACCCAAACAGCAAGTTTCGCCTCTAACACATATCTCGCCTGTTTGGAATTCATGAAGTTCTTCTCCAGTGGCCGTATCGATAACATAAAATATTGCTGTAAGTATTAATTGAATGGCAGTATTATTTACTTTGCATTCAAAATTTGGCATGATCACTCCACAGCTGCCTCCTTTTCTTCTTTGAATGGGATGAATGGGAACGATGTGCGAAGCACAGCTAGTTTCCGTCATTCCATAGCCTAAAACGAGCACTGTTACCGCTGTGAGAATAACAAGCTAGTAGTGATACCTTGCTGGATAGATAAGATATGAGGAAACTTGGCTAGTGCATGATTGGTTATTTCTGTTCCGAGATGAGCACCGCCGACCATCAGGTATTCAACTGAAGTTATATCATAATTTTCCACAGATGGGTCCTCTAGTAAGTACTTTAAAATTGGTGGGACTATGTATAGGTATCTTGCCTAAATTACAACGATATCACCATTGGTACAATGATTATGGCAAAAAATAAGAAGCAGAAATATAACGATGTTCCAGCATCCAAAAATGTCGTTACAAGATATTCAAGTAATGATAACGAAAAACTGGCAGAAACTGATTAATTTTGTGAATTGTTGTGCAAGTGAACGAAGAAGGGATTGGCCATCCCTAACATGTGGTAAAGTAGTAAATTTGCGTTTCGATTTTCTTCAGGTTTTAGTGCGGAACTTCGAATTTGTATATTAATTATTCGATGGCTTGAAGAACTTTCTTCAGGACATGAAATTTCATTGTAAGTTACATACACAATTCTTCGTTTAGTAGGTAGTTGAAATTATTTGTATTCTATGAGTTCAAGTGTAGAGTTAAAGTT